ATACCATGACAAGGAAAGAATAAATAAAAATATTGATTGGTGATTATTCCCTGAAGAGTCGATAAATCAAATAGATATGTTGCTTTATTCATTATTGATTTGTCCAATAAGCAAAAATTGAGATAACTATCATATAAGGTCTCTAAACAGGGACTTTCGAACGTTAACAATTGATAACGGCGATCTCGTTGAAGCTACACTAACTTGTCAAATTAGTTGTCATTTGTTCAGTCTGTTGAATCATTCATATTCCTCTTCCTTGTGAAGCGGACTAGGTCCACAGACATCTGCTCTCTCTGTGCCTAGATATTTCACTTGTAACTTCGAATGGAAGTAGAATCAAATCATTCAGATTCCTCTTCCTTGTGAAGCGGACTAGGTTTACAGACAGCTACTTCCTCTGTGCCTAGATGTTTCGCTCCACCATCGAAGGAATGTAGAGTTAAATCAGGTTCGCAGACATACATATGTCGGATGTCAGTTGTCTTGTCTATTAATGTTTTTTTTCCATGGCAAAAAGAACACAAAGTTTGGACGATCTGTCAGATGTCAACTCTTTCTCTTTTGATGATTTAAATCATGCAGATTCCTCTTCCTTATGAAGTGGAGTAGGTTTACTGACATCTGCTTCCTCTATGCCTAGATGGTTTACCTCACCATCGAAGAGAAATGGAGACAAATCATTCAGATTCCTTTTATTTGTGATGCGAACTAGGTTTACAGACATCTGCTTCCTCTGTACCTTGATATTCCGCTTCACCATAGAAGGGAAGTAGAGTTTGAAGATGTTACACATATAAAGGTCCCAGAACGATCCCTTGTGGTATGCCATGCTCATACTGATCTAAGTATTCCCGAAACTTTTGACTCAACTCCTCTAAACCGACATGCGTTTTCCTACGAATAATTTTCTAAGCAATGATTTGCAATTTTCGTGTATTACTCTACATTCCTGTCGCAAATCTAACGGTACCAACTCCACACCTTCATTCCTTTCGGTACCCACACGATCAGTCGACTAGATTAATATTGTTCGAGCGGCAATAATACATCGAAAATATAAATTATGTCTCAAGAATCGATCGGTATCAATTTCTAAAGTAATCGTCGATTCAACGAATGAGAAACGAGACCTTGTCCACACGTGAATCGGAATTTCGTAATGGCCGTTAGGCTCTAATTACGCGAGTTTAATTGCTCCGCGCTCGAAAACAAGGAAAACTGCAAGTCTGAATTAGATTATCGGTTTGTCGCGTCGAGAAAAAAATCACTGCCCGATTCGTTCATTACAAAACACAGGGTGAATAAATGACAACGAAATAAGGCCCATTTTTCTCAGTTGACGCTTAGGCAGAATTATTTCAATCATATTGTCGCTTCAATACCCTCAGCCTGGGCCTCACCCTTGGCGACCCTGGAAAGCTGGCGCCGAAAAAATATCTGGTGATGACCACGAAAAATCTACGCTCTACGCCTACATAATAATAGAATGATACTGAAGATCATGAGTTCGGATAGCTTTTTCCGCATGGTACGCGACTCAGAGAGAGCAGGAATTGGAACATTCATTCGCAAGACACTGAGCGCGGTGTCCAAGATTCTGTCATCGATTCGGAAGCCGTTCAGCAAAAGTCCCGAATCAAAGTCGAAGAGATCACTCCACTTCTGCGACTACATGAGAATAGACGTCTTCAACAATATTGAAACCTTGGTTCATCGCTATCCTCAGGTCGAGTGGGCTGAAGTCGAATACTGAGGAGTTCATCATGGCTAGCCAGGATGGTGTCTTCCACACCTTAGTCTACCGCAGTCGCGTGATGGTATAGAGGTTCCTGACACAACGTGCAGGGCCTGCCGCGAGATCTTTGACATCCTTATTAAACACTTGCCGTCGGTATGTCCAGTATATGCGGTCTGAAATTACATCCATCAATATAATGTGGTACTTTGAGTACAATAGATTCAATTTCAGAAAATGAAACGGCAAGCTGACTGATTGAAAGCTAAATAATAGTAAAAGAACTATGTGATTGATTGAATCAAATGCTTCATAAAAATCAAGCAAAATGGGTAGTAGCTTAGATGATGAGAAGAATACAATGTTATATAATATATACCTTTTCATCGGTGGTGGAAGCGGCTATTGATTTTTAAATATGCAAAAAAAATTGTTGCATGGACATGCGGGTGGTTGTACGTAAATATTAAAAGTGAAAAAAAAATTAATCGAGCGCGTCAGATTTTCTAAGGGGGTATTAAGTGCAACAAAAAAAGCTCTCATTCAATAATCTGACGATTTCAATCTGACGCAAACAGGCGGCCATTATATTAATGTGCAAAAAAATTCGCCATTTTGAAATACTCAAGCGCGTCAAATTAAGATATATATCGTTCACCTTTATATTCTAGACGTGCTGTCTCATAATCTGACGATTCGCCTAATATGACCAAAAAATATATAATTTTTTTTTATCATTGAACTCAATTAATTGAAAAGCTCATGAAATAGCAGGCAAATAAATAAGTGTATGTTTTTTTAAGTAGAATACTTGTATTTATAAGAAAATAATTTTTTTTAAATGCTCAAAAAAAAATTTTTTTATAATCAATTGATTAATAAATCATCATCTTCATCACGAACGAGTCTCTGTGATCAGCTGTGATGGCGTCATGGCAACAGAATTCAGAGTGGGAACGGAGTGAAAGAGTAATAGATAGAGAAAAAGTGAAAGAGGAATAGAAACTCGGAGAGGGAAATAAAGGTATCACACAGCTGCACGCATTAAACTTTATCGACGAATTGTTGTTATTTCGGCTTGCAGAAATCGTCAGATTATATATTTTTCGTTATCTTTGAATTATTTTCTTCAAAACAAAAATAAATTAGCTACGCTCGAGAATATAGAAATGACTTTGCTGCCCTCCCCTTCCTTTACATCACTCTCAAACTGTCATATTACTGGAATATACACTTTTTAGCATATAATTAACTCACCCTACCTTAATCTGACGCGCTCAAGAATTTTTGATGATCATTTTTTTTACTTATCTGATCCTTTATCCTTCACGGGCGGCCTTATATATGGGGCTCATATTTGGTGGAGGTACTTAACCGGATACAAGGTATCCCCCTGTATATTAATCTGCCGCGCTTTAGTAAATCCCGAAATCTCCACTTGGGCTCCCCTATTAATACGGGATATCAAAGAATGTAAAATTTCATTTCAGATTTGTATGCCTGACGTTTTGTCTACTGCTGCGTGAAATACGACGTGAAACCAAAATTTAGGCCAACAAAAATCGTCAGACAAAGTTTCAGGTCAGCGAAGGACCCTAGCCTAGAGAATCTCTAATAACGCCAGGGGTATACCGAATTCCGTGTAGCTGCGAGTTGGTCTACATCGAAATCACGCAATGAAGTATAGGGACCACGTCTTTCACACAATAATATTCGACAGTACCCAAAATAACTACCCAAGAATATATAGAGGGGCTATAGAGATTCAAAAGCATAGGGATGATTTCAATAGAAAAGAAGAGACAATGAATAATAATAAAAGCTGGCTGCCTGTATTACCTGTACACAAACAGGTAATACAATTAAGAACGATGTAAATAGAGCGCCCAATATGGAAACAGTAGTTATTGCGTTAGATTTAACAGAAACAAGACCCACAGTACCAGTTCGGATATTGCTTTCGTTATCACATTGCCTTCGAAAATGTCCACCGCAGCTGTAGACGAAACGTCAGGCATGACAACCTGCAGATTACGGACAGAAAACCCGGAAAATAGCCTTCATACCGTTTGGAATTCAGTTAATTGAAAATACTATCCGGTCTACGTTCAATCGAAGCAGGTATGTGTCAAAAATGATCTGCTTCAAAACTTATACGTAGGGGCTTGTCTATTTCGTTTTTATACTTTCATATCTCAAACCCGTACTCATTTTCGAAACAATAAAAATCCAGAGTCTACCGCGCAACAGGAAACGGTGGCGACCACATTTGAATAAAACTGAGCTTGTGGTTTTATCAGTGACATTCAATTTGAACAATCTTCTAGCTGAAATACGTCTCGGATGATTTGATTATTTTTAAAGGCGTCGTAGGAAAAGGTCTGCCACAAAACCAAAAATTATCTCGCGCACGATCCAGGGGTTTTAGATAACAATGAAAATTGCCCATTTCAGAGGAGTCAGTTAATTGCAAGCCGACAGAAAAACCATAATGATCATATCACACACTTCATTCATAGTGATCGAGGTTTAGTTAGTGGTTCGGGGTTCCTCTTCCTACGAAACTGCATAGAGTGCATTTTTTGGTGAGTGAGTTCAGTGGAAATATTGGAATTTGGATCGTGTTTTATGATTTGAAGCAGGTTATTCCACCCACACCTTACGATTTGATCCCCACAAAGTTTGTGGAGCGAAGCAAGTTCTTGGTAATGATGATGCTCACGAATGGTTCATCATGCAGATAGTGGATGGGGAAATATTTTCCATTCACCTAGATTAGATATGAATAGACATTTCAGTTCCTGATTTGCACTGATTTTCGCTCATTTTTTGGAGTACTATTTATTCAAATATCAGGTGTGGTCATCACTAATCTTGATTGATGGTTGGAACCAAAGTTGCTTTCAGGTCTTTCTTTCAAGCTGATGGTGTCAGAGACCTCATTATTTTTCTAACGTTTCATGTCTTCATGTGATATCAGGTTTTTTTGTGTAGTATCTATGTCCTTACTTGTTTCATGAGCGACTGATTGCTTTCTCATTTCCTTCATGAAATATGGGTAAAATATGGGATGATACCCACAGATTCCGTCAATCTCTGTGCCCTGTATTGCTTCCTTTAGAATGATCCTTGTTAGTCTTGGTCTGTCATAGAAAGAAGGACCTGTTTCAGCACAAGCACCAACCATCTGAGATTCAACAGTGTCTATAAAGGAATCTTTTTCATTGGATACTTTTTTGTTGATACCACTTTTGTTTTTCAGAGTCCCCGTCCATCGGACTCGGACACTTCGGATAGTCACAGTGACAGCGAAGTGCCTGCATCTTTAACACCTACCTCTAGAGGACTGCTGAATAACAACCATAATCATCACAGGTAAGTTTGAGGAGACTCAGTAAACGTTGTATTTGCGGAATATTAGTCATATATCGTTACCGATACACAGCCACTTTTCAGCAGCCACATTATCAGTGGCGTCCCATAACGTAGCTATTTATTATACGAAAAACTTGAAATTTATATGTGAAATGTGCAAGGGCAAAGGAAGCACGAAGTTTGGACCATCTATCAGATGTCAACTGTTTCTTCCTTGATGATTTTTCTTTTTGCAACACAGAATGAAATCTCGTCTTTATTTCCGTCTGTCACTTGTTTTCTCTATTGAAGTTCTCCTTTCATGGCAAAGACCAAATCTCAAAATCTAATTCATTCGTCAGATATCAGTTGTCTCCTCTATGACTGTTTTTCATCTCCGCTACTCCGGTATCATATGAGAATTTTTTCAATTTCAGTGCTCTACACGTTTTCGGTTCCTTTTTTCCACCCGATTGTGGGTAATTCTGTCCGAAGCTCTCCTAATTGTGACCACATTCGCTTTGAGAAGCAACTTTCGTTACAAACTGGCCGGATAGGTAATATTGAGTTGAACTAAATGAATGTGTTAGCCACTCCGTGACACAAAGATATGTCCTTCACTATTCAATTCCTTCTTTCTGCAGCAAAGAAAGAAATCTCAAAGTTTTGTCAGTTACCTTCGCTGAACTTTTTCGAAATACTTACACTTTTTTCGTTCCGCAGGCATAACGTTCAGCACCCCGTGACGCCATCATCAGCCATGACGACGATCGAGAACGTGTCCATGGCGGCGCTGGCGGCCGCCGCCCTCTCTGGGGGCGCCAGCCCCGTAGGCACCCCCGCTGCCCCTCACCTGCCGTTCTATAACCCGGCCAGCGTCCTGACGCATAATTGGTACCTCGCCAACGTCGTCCGGTTCCAGAACGCCGCCGCCAACGATGCCGCGGTGGACAAGGCCAGCGGTGCCGGAGAGCAGCCTCTCGACCTGAGCAAGGGGGGCTCCAACAACAATCCTCCCGCGACGGATAGGAAGGTACCCCTGGCCATCAATGTGAGACTGCCGACGTTGGACACCAAACATATTTTCAAGTAAGTGGGAGGGTTAGTTTGTTAGTGGGCACCTTCTGGGGAAAACAAGGGGGGTACGTAGAAGAATTGAAGGGACCAACAATACCTAGACTGCCAATGCGGCCGACATGTAGGTTAGGTTAGGTTAGGTCTAAAGTGAGTGGTTCTAGTCGACCCTACACCGCAATCCGCAAGGGTTTATTGGGGCTCACACCTATTCGCACTCGGCCCAATAGACCCAGCCTCTCAAGGAAGACGATTAGTTTGTGTAGTGAGTGGTCTTTCAGGTCAGATAGTGAGAGAGTACGGCTCCGCCGAACTCTAAAAATCTGATTCGGTCCCAAACGGGGCAAGCAAAGTATCTGCGCTGCTGTTCCATCATTTTCCAAACAGGGGCGACACACACTGTCTTCCGACAGTCCGAGTCTCTGTTTGTGATGTTTCAAATGACCTAGACCTGTAAAAAGGCCTGTTAGACATCGTAGTTCATCGCTACTGTAGTCCAACAACTTCGAAGAGTGAATGAACGCCTTGGAGTGAGTCAATCCTGGAAGATTCTGCCATAAGTCCAAAAATCTTGCCAACCAGCTGTTCAATATTTGTTTGGCAAAGCCGGAAGCGATAACAATGACAGGTTCTGGTCCGATGAAGCTGCTTACAGCAACCTCCTTTGCAAGGGAGTCAGCAGCCTTATTGCCTTCCACACCAGTATGGAAGAATCCAGACCAGAGACACTCTGTTACGTCTTCCTATCTAGCAGAGTCGTTTTTGGCAATTTGCTACCAATTCAGACGTTGCTTGGTAGGAGCCAAGAGCTTTCAACGCCGACATGTAACAACAACTTCTGAGCAAGCGTTTTTTTCAAAGAAGCAAGTCAACATAAATCATTTTTGATAAATACGAGGTCATTTTTCTCAAAAAATATTCATGTTTACATCAATTTCTATTTTTTTCCGTTCAGAGTAGTCTCCCTCAGATACAATACACTTGTGACAACGTGTTTTCCAATCCTCCAAGCAATTCTGATATGCACGTTTCAGTATGTTCTTGAGCTCTCTCGGTGGTTAGGTTTTTTCCTCCTCAATCGTCGTAAAACGATATCCTTTCATGAGTATCTTCAATTTCGGAAACAGAAAGAAGTCGCAGAGGACTAAATCTGATGAATGCGGTAACTGAAGCATGATAACGGTGTTGTTTTTTATCAAAAAATTATTAGCATGCAATGACGAGTGGGCAAGTTCATTATTGGTGCAAAACCTTGACTTTTGATCGAACTTGGCGGGCTCTTTTGGTCTTGGCTTCCCTAGGCTCTTCTATTGGGACTTTGGTTTCGAAAAAACTGCATGACATGAGCCAACTGATATGCCGACATCCCCAGCAGATTCTCCAATAGAGATTCGTCGATTCTCGATAACAATTTCCTCCACTATCTCAACATTTTCATCGGCAGTTGATGTGCTGAGGCGTTCTTCTATTGATTTTGATATTTCCATTATATCACTGCTGGTTTCACCAGAACATTTGAGGCACACTCAGAGCATTTGAGGCTCGCTCTTCGGCGGCTACACATACTTCCACAGTTTCCCTTGCATCTGCAGAAAAAATTTCATCAGTTCGGGAGGTGCTGGAAGCTTGGAAGTTTGGATTGGTAAACGAATTTTTCCATGGTTTTTCCAGCCCTAATCTTCGCAAAGGCATGAAAAATGTAACATTTAAATGGACTAAAACCGACCCTGATGAAACCCTTATCGATTTCCCTCCGTAATAAATTCATCATCGCCGAACGTTCATAACTTACAACCAATTTGGAATACCGCTCACTCCGCTCCACCCCCTTCCAAACTTGGCCAACAATTTTATTGTAATGGATAAGCGTGGTAATAATAGTTTATATCTGAACTATGTACCGACCATAAACCGCGAAAAACAACTAAAACTAAGCAGTTTCCGTTATGATATTACGTGTTCTCTGAACTGAGTCATAAAAATCCCATTTCCAGAAAATGGAGTCGTATCATCTGGATATTTTCCATTTATTGTCCCATTTATTTTCCATCTTTTGCTGCGGAATGGAAACTACACTAGTGCACACATTCGTGGGGTAATGGCAGAATTAAATCTCTCCGCGATAAATTTTCACGAACGACCGTATTTCGATAATAACTCCGGAGTCACTCGAAATATAAATTAGAGTTCCGGGTGGTCAGTGTTTCATCAAGAACTTTCCACATTGGTATGCCGTACATTTCTCCAGCCACTAAGATTATTGAAGAATAAGAATATTGTTGGGGATGCAGTCAAAATACTGGGCTCTTGTTTGAAGAAATTTATTTTTACTCATGAAAATTGCTATTGGTCAATATATACCACAACATAGTGAAGAAAATATTCAGATATGGAGCTACAAAAACAAACACTCAAATTTGGAGCCGCCCTCATGTTTATTTTTCTCATCAAAAACACTGAAAATGCTATATTTTTTCGTATACCTTATCCGACCTCAATATCGTGTCTCTTTCAACAGTATCGTCAAAGCTTATAGCTCTTATTATGGGCCCACGATTTATGGATTCTATCGGTATAAAATATTCACCATCCTTAGTCCGCCCCTGCATACGCATCTGAATGTACGATAACGCGAGCTCTGACCGATAAATTCCAAGCCTTTCCGAGAATGAAAAAATATTGAAACTTTCAAACAATTTTACCATGTTTTTAATGTACTCTCTCGTTTGTTATTGACCCCTTTCAGATTAAAAACGCGAGTTCATTTAACTTTATTTTTTAGTGTTGGATATGAAAATAACAAATTTGAACACAACAGCTCACTTGAAAGTGCTTTGCCATTGATGATACGAGAAAATGTATAAATCACTTATTATTTATTTTTACGATAGTTGATGTAAACAGAGCGTTCCACTGCTGTTGGCCTTTATATCTAATTAGTGATTTTTCTGACGTACCGTATCTAGGAGGGATTTGAGTGGAATTAAGATCTTTTGTGATTTTTGAAGGGATAACTTCTTATGGGAGGGTGAACCGCTTCGTTTCGTAACGCGTAACGGCGCCATCTTGTGTAGCTTTCCTTTCTCTCAGGCATACGTCAGCGGAAGGCAGGCTCCTCCTCTCTCGTCGGACAGACGCTCAGTATTAAGTGTGCGTTAGACATATACTGTTGACAGTATTATAAAAATCTAACCCGCAAGTACTTAAATACTTTCATACACAAAATAATAGATAAAATATTTTTTTAATGAATAACCTTTCCTTACATCATCATATAGATATACATTCTCAAGTCAAACAATCTCAATATTGAATAGTTCAACTCAGATTAGTTTAAGTTATCACTTCTGTCGGGTGTCCCGAGATGCACACGTTCTTTATTTTACTTACAATTCGAAGATCAAGTATTTCCACTGAGTTTCATTCGCGATAAAGATTACAGGTTTGCTCAAACTTTATTCTTCACGCATGAATGTACCAGAAATCGATTTACCTAACAAAATATATGTTTTATTTCGGTGACAGGAGCCATATTGGCGAAGATCAAGAATTCCAGACCGTTCGAGATATCGTAGATGTCTTCATCTCATTGAGAGAAACAGATAACAGAAATGAGAAAATGAATATTTCGAAATGGATCCCAAAAAAAATATTTTTGATTAAATGTTATTTTATTTGAATTGAAGGGGTTATATTTTTTAGGAGTGATTAATTTTTGGGAAAGAAAGTTTTTGGCTTTCTACTAGTCCATCTTGATACAAAAAAAATGGATCGAGATGAAGTAGTAGAAAGCCAAAAACTTTCTTTCCCAAAAATTAATCACTCCTAAAAAATATAACCCCTTCAATTCAAATAAGATTCCTCTTGGCTGGGATTAAATCAAATAGGTGAATGAATGTCATTACGATGTCATCGATGACATAGGCAGATCAAGCTTATTCCGTGACATTAAAAAATCGTTATTCATGAATGAAGTGTGTGTATTTTCTATAATGTTATCCAATTTGGTACTGAAGAGCCTTAGGGCAAGTGTCTTAAGGCGAAACATCGGTGTATACCAGTGAGGAAGGCAGTGTTCTATGTAAGTGCAATTTGTTACCATTCATTTAAAGTAGAACTTATGTGAATGATATCTGATTTTTATTCCACAACGAATGTTTGGAATACAAACTGAGTAGAGAAAAGTATCTTCTGTATAATTCAGTGTTCATATAGTAAATAGGTATTTGTTTCGAAAGAATTTTTTCTTCCGTATAATCCAATGTTTATATGAAAGTAGCTGTTTCAGGAGGACTTTCTTTCAGCTTGTGTCTGAAAGTTACTTCTTTGCATGATCCATATATCCATCCATATATAGAGTTACTTCTTTCCTTTCTTTGGAAGACTCCCTCATCCTTCTTTTTTTTGTATCAAGATGGAGTAGTAGAAAGCCAAAAACTTCCTTTCCCAAAAGTTATTTTATTATTTAATATAGTTGCCTTCGATGTCGATACAACGACCATAGCGGGTTATAGGTACAATATTTCGATTTGTTTCTAGCCTCAAAATAGGCCTCAGTGTCGACGATAATCTCTTCATCGGCGCTAAATTTCTTTCCAGCGGGAATTTTCTTGAGGTCTGAGAACAGAAGAAAGTGCTGTAAACCAGATCCGGAGAATACGGTAGATGCTGAAGCAATTCGTAGCAATTTTGCCATCGTTTTCCAATTTCTTCAAATTGTGCCGTTTCTCCGCGATTCAGTCCTTCGAACGCTCCAAAAACGCTATGTTATAGTCACTGTTGATGGTTTTTTCCTTTTCAAGATTGTCGATAAATATTATAACATTATAACATTGGATTTCGGAACTTTTGCTCTTCTCAATGTGGTAGCGATGTCTTGACGTACTTCTTCAGCTAGGTTTTCAGGTGGGTGAACAATGGTCGATTCTATTTGGGTGAAAGTGAAAGGCCCCAATGGGTTCTCCTATCTCTCAGGTCCTTGTAAACCTCTACATGGAGGACTTCGAAACCACAGCCATTGACACGTCTCATCTCAAACCCAAGTGTTGGCTCCGATACGTGGATGACGTCTTCGTTATATGGCCCCATGGATTCAAAGATCTTCATGCATTCCACATCCACATCAACTCCTTACACCCCAACCTAAAATTCACAATGGAAGTTGAAAATAATGACTCACCTCCATTCCTGAAAGTTCTCATCACAAAGTGCAACAACTCCTCACACACGGTCTACCGAAAACCTACCCATACTAACCACTATCTCAATGCTCATCCTGCCCAGCTGAATTCCGTTTTGAATTCCTCATACATCGTTCTATAAGATTCACTGACAACCACAACAGATCCAAGGAACTATACGAACTCAAATCCGCCCTTCACCAAAACGACTATCCCGTCTTCCAAATGAAAAGATCCATCCAACTACAGCAAACACAAACCCCACCCCACGAGTTACATGAGGAACAGACCAACCAGACAAAAGATTTTCTCCCCTACATCCATGGAGTTACTGACAAAGTGAGCCGAATTCTGAAGAAACATAACGTGAAGACAGAATTTACAGCTAACAACCAAATCTCCACTCTTTTAAGAATACCCAAGGACACGATACGCAATGAAACACAGGGCATATACGAAATACCATGTTCTAACTGTCCCAGAACTTACATCGGCCAGACCAATAGAAGAATTTCCAACAGAGACTATGAACATGAACTAGCTGTTCGCAAATCAGACCCAGCATCAGCTCTATTCAAACAGCATCAGAAAACACAAAAACCATTGCTACGTAGAAAAATATTTAGGCCAAAGCATTCTGTTGAGGTCTGAGAACAGAAGAAAGTGCTGGAGACCAGATTTGGAGAATACGGTGGATGCTGAAGAAATTCGAAGCAATTTTGCCATCGTTTTCGTTGATTTGTGACACAGTGCAATATCTTGATGAATCCGCACAGTTTCTTTGGAGCATCTACTACGTGCATCATCCTCAGTGTTCATTTTCCCTGGTTTTAACTTAGAAAACCACTTCTCAATGGTTGATTTTTCTGGTGCCATGTTCGAATAATATTTATCGACCCAGGACTCGGCTTCAACAGTATTTCTTATTCGCCACAATGCTTTATTAACACCCAAAATTCGTTTTTGAATATCCTCTTCAAACCAACAAAAGTTACTTCACTCAAAATGTTCTATCCCTCAAACTATTAGTCCGACAGCTGTGATATTTAAACACGTGTCTTTTGGAGTTTGAGGTTTCCTGAAAACCAAATGGATGCAATACTAGTAGTGCCTCCTGTGTGTGAGCCTACGAACAGCCCATCTAGTACGTACTCTATGATTTTTTATACTACCGATTGTGAAACTGGTGTAAAGTCATTTGGAAAGGATTTTCTTGCCTTTTTTGAGTACAGGCTGAACTAGAGCAGTCTGCAAACAAACAGGAAAAAATCACTGAATGTCAGACAGGTGTGAGATCCTTCAAAATACTGATGATGGAATCCAATCGATTCATGATGGAGATCACTCTCATCATTTTGGGGATGACCTATTTTGATGCTTTATGAAGCTTAGATCAGACCTTCTTTGGAGTATTGTGCACATGTTTTGAGCTTCGATCCTAAGCAAACCCTGAAGTTGCTGGATTCCACACAGAAAAAAGCCATCCTTCTGATTGGAGACGCGAACATCACTTGCAACCTTGATAGTCTCGAACATCGAAGAAAGGTTGGAGATTTGTCTCTCTTTTATGAATACTTCCACAGGAGGTTTTTAAGTAACTTGGTACATTTGATTCCACTAAGAGCGGTTCATAAATAAGCGATGGACTGTGGCTGTCCATTGTTTTGAGGTTCAACTCAGTACTCCTCAAACTTCAATGTTGGAGAACTGCCTTTATATGGAGTAAACTTTTCAAATTCAAAGTGAATCGCTACTTTCGTACAGGCACCGCTCTTAGAGTGCCTCACGTATTTTCCTGTTGTGCTGGTGTTTTGTCCTGGAAAAAAATGAATATCACCCCCCACCACCACAATGACCATCCACTGGAACAATCCCTCTTTTCACGTACGTTTCGAATTCACTGCGTCTACGTGGGGGAAAATGATGTCGATATATAGGCCGATTATCCAGAATCGCTATCAGCGGGGTCAATCACCACAACTCGATGCATATGGTCTATTTGTTTTTAATATCTGTATCGCAACTGTTTACCGTCTATGTTTGCGGAGGAACGCACATCGCGAAAATAATTTGGTTTTCGTTTTTTCCTGTCGCAAGTGCACGTTGAAATGCGTGAAGAGCGGACGAGTTCGAGAGGCGGCGTCTCTATGTACGGGGTAAGTCAGAAATATACTCTTTTTGGGGTTCGGTGGAAGTTTTTTTTGGCGGTTCGTTCGGGATAGTGGTGACTTTTGACTAAACTTTCGAAAACATTTTGAATCAACTTGCATCTTGGTCCAATCATTTGTGACTGTATTTCAATACTACGAGAACTAATTTTCAGACAATGAAAAACCGTAGTGGTTTCCAATGTGGACTAGAAATACCGCTGTTAATTTACGTACAGGGTATATGCAGGGTATTACTCTCCACCATACAAGTTGACCCTTTCAGAAACTAAAACACTGTACTCTTAACCTTTTACTGAAAAAAAAACTTAGCCTTGCAATCTAGTTTGTTCTGTTTCATGAATGACGCCCCGTTCCATTTCACTATCTAGTCTCCAGTTACCGGCCAGCAGTGTTCCTTTCAATTTCAAGTATTGAAACCCCAAAAACGATTAGATTGTGGCTAAACTTTCGCAAGAGAGTTCAAATTTGGTCACATCATTATAAAGGTGAAAGAAGGCTATTATCTTTAATTTGAATGCCAGTTTTAGGTCCAACATAAACATACTTTGTGTAATACCAGTTCACTGTTCTGTTTTTATTGCCTAATCGCAAGCTACATAATACTTTGTGACCAGCTTGTCTATGAAGACGAACAAGTTGTTTCTGATCAACTTATTGATCATTAAAGTATACTTTTCTAATATCTACATAACTGAATGAGTTCAGCTGCATGTAAAACTTTAATTTCTGATAGTATCGAGATAGATTTCCAGCAGCCAATGTTGTGAATTCATATTTCATTGTCTGGATGTGAGATTTCCAAAACGATTTAATATGTTATGTTTGTGGGTAACTGGCATATTCACAAGTTTTCGTCAATGTCCAACAAAAAACGTCTCATTCAGTGTCTCATGAAACAGAACTTTATTTTGTAGGTTGGTTTTCATCTTTGCTTCAAATTTTCGCTTGACTGATTATGTAAGTCTTCTTCATGGCGTATTTGGACCATTAGGAACAACACAATCCCATTATCTTCTACAGTTTTCTACCATCCAGGTCAGTAGTTTGTCGTATTCTGTGTTTGAAGTACATTCCAGTTAAAACGAGCCACCATGAATAAGTCATTTGATATTGGAACTCATGCCAAAAATTTCAAATGGGAACAATGGTTGAGTGACCATTTGGAAGGTTTTTTAATTCTGTAACATTTTCAATAATACCAGGTTAGGCAAAATCGGAGAAAAATATAATACTCTTCAAAGTTGTTATTCAAACTGAGCAATATTCAATGGTACTGAAAGTGGCAGAAATAAGAACTCCTGGTGAAAAAAGTTTCATTTAGGTACACACTAAGTTTCATCATCATCATTATCATTCTGTCAGCTTAGTTTCGTTATCAAGGTTTTTTATTTCCGTTCTGCTATATAATTAATAGATGGTTTGTTCTACCTTTATGGAAAATCTACAAGAGCTCTCGTGTTTTCAACGAGAGTTATGTGGGCATAGTTGTATTGGAATTATTACTAAAATTCCTGGAAACATTAATAACAGACATACCGTTCAGGAACAGTCAATATCGATGGCATTAATGTTGCAATCCCAAGCCACGCTGCCTTGATGGAAAATAAGCAGTCTTTGACATAGTTATCTCGTCAGAATTGAGTCGTACGTTGTCAGAATTCTTTGTCGACACAATTTGCACCCTTACAACACCAAAATGATTCATGAATTGAATGGAGATGATTATAACAGCAGAGTTGAAAATTCCTTCCGAAACTAGTTGCGTAATCAAACTTCGTTGCACACCATATGTTTCTTTTATCTGAATGGGCAAGTATTTCGTCATGACACGATAAGATCACACTCAATACCCCCAAAAACTAAATTTTCGGAGAGGCGTAAGGGTTTATAGAGGGTCACCCTATTCACACTCGACCCAGCCCAGCTTCTTAACGAAGCCGACTAGTTTGTATGGTGAGTGGTATTCAGGCTCTGCCGAACTCTAAAAACCCGATTCGGTCCCCAGCGGGGCAGGCACAAAGTATATGCTCTACTGTTTCATCGTTAATGAGGTAGTCGGGTAGTCAAGGTGCAAGATTTCCACCTTGATACCCGTCACAAAATTCCCATATGAGGGTTTCCGCACATCAGCTACACATGACGATGCCATGCAGGACTGCGTACGTCGCTCAATAATTTGGTGCAAGGCGGTTTCATAAGATACCCCGCTCTTGAGGAGATGACTCAGTCGTAAGCTCAACATCCATCTCCTCTGTAGACTCAGCGTCAGAAAGAATTTTTCTGTCCATAAAAGTCCAACGAGTAGCTAGGGAAAGAAGGTCAATCACGTCAGAGCCCCCCATTACCGTGACAAGGCGATGCTACGACGAGACGGCGCCCGGTATCTCGAAGGTTCCGTAGAGACAGCTGATAGGCTCAGTTTCATGCATCCTCTCGGCAAGGATACACACACCTTAAGATTAAGCCATAGTTGGGATGTCATTCAGTTAGAGAATAACAGAACCACAAGTGATTCTGTCATTCCTGTATCCAGCGGGGCTTCGTCGAAGCAGCCAATGCAATGCACTCGCCAAAACAGCATGCACAGTGGTTCAGGCAGAACCACTGATGAAGAAGAACAAGGACATCCAACCCCCTTTTTGGGATGGGACTCCCCATCATTACTTAGTACCAGTACAGCAGTTTTCTGATAATTCTTTCAGGGTTGATGAATTGGAAGGAGAGGTTCTACAGAATGGCCACGTAAGTCCAACGACGTGACTCCACTTGACTTTTTTCTCCAAAAAAACTTAAAAAACCCAATTTCTCTAGTGATTTATCCTAAAATAACTATATATAACACTATTATGTAGCCACATTTCGACTGTTGTGGTAGCTAACTTCACTGGATTTGACCGAACTCTCATCACTACAGAAATTAAATAATCGTGGTATAAGAATAATAATACAATGTCATCGAGCAACCAGCTTTTGGCGATGGTGGTACTTCACAATAGAGAATAGACTCTATAAATTAGCAATTTATTCAAAAAAATATATATTTACCTGATAATCAGCTGTCATCCCTCTACGAACGACAACCCTCAAAAGTCGAAACATGTGCGAGGATCAACGAGGCCTCACCTTTCAATGTACGACCCCTAGCACAATGCTCATGTTAAAAATATA